CCCCCCAACCAATGTACAATTGTGTCCAGGAGTCTAACAATACTTGAATCTTATACACAGCCTCTTCGCTTTATGTAAGCTAGAATGGCAATTTGTACACTGTAAGAATTAAAAGTCTCCGATGGCAATGGTAGCAACTTCACAACCACTGAACCACGTGTAGGTATCAAGTATGAAAAGGACAGACCTAGGGCCAGGTGGACAAATTGCACTGCTCGGGACGAAAGTGATATTATGTTGACAGTTTTTTTGTTTTATTATATTTTTGAACGATGTTTCCATCATAACAATGATACAGACAGGTTACAATTCCACCCCACCCCCTTTTTTTCAGACACACAGAACAACAACAAAAAAATGAGTGAGTGCATTCGTGTATATGTGCATACGTGGGCATAAAGTTCTGTAACCAAATACGACAAAGTTTAATGCTGCTATTAATGCGGTCTTTGTGACAGACAACTTCGTTGGGGGTATAAAGCCCTATCAGTACCTATATAAACAGGAAGAACTCCTAGGGCCACACCCACAGTGGGGCTTAATAAACAGACTGCTGAGGACAGCAGAAGACGATAAATATCGGGGAGCGCCTTGGGCATGAAGCCGAACAGATCAAGATGGTGATTTCACTAAGCTACTGATATTTAGTGGTAAAAGTACAAACACGAGCAGAAGGAAGGGCGGGGGGTCCGGAAGGGTGGGGTGATGTGAGGCGAAATAAGGAATTTGATTCTCCTAGCTAGTTAATGTGTACGGGTACAAACACGGGTGGGCGATGTATGAAGAGGAACCGTGGGATTCGATAATGATAAATACATAGATTATTATATCGACGGTTCAGTTCAAGAAACACGTATGGCATTTTTCTCTCAAACCGATTTTTTTTCCCCTTTCTCTTGGTCGCGGATCTTTCTCCGTCACATATACACACACATTTTCGATATGAGGAACGGACAGTTAAATAAGTTATTTACAGTCCGATCGCAACATCAAATATCTGACGGAGAAAGACCTTCGCTACAGAAAAGCAAAAAAAGTAGATTTTAGACAAATGTGCCATACGGGTTTCTAGAACTGAACCATAGATCTATGTGAACATGTAATACGTAGATGGGAAGATGAT